TGTTTTATAATATTGAGTATACCCATCCATGAGCATAGGATGTTTCCATTTGTTTGTGTTGTCTATGTTTTTTTTCAGCAATGTTTTGCAGTTTTCCTTGTAGAGATCTTTCACCTCCTTGGTTAGGTATATTTCTAAGTGTTGTGTTGTGTTGTGTTGTATTTATGTATTTCCATATCTTCTGTAAAAGGGGTTGAGTTCTTGATTTGATTCTCAACTTGGTCACTGTTGGTATACTTCAGTGCTACTGATTTGTGTACATTGATTTTGTGTCCTGAAACTTTGCTGAATTCATTTATCAGAGCTAAGAGCTTTTTAGATGAGTCTTTAGGTTTTTCTAGGTACACAATCATATCATCAGTGAACAGTAACAGTTTTACTTTGTCTTTACTGGTTTGGATGCCCTTTATTTTATTCTCTTGTCTGATTGTTCTGGCTAGGACTTCCAGTACTACGCTGAATAGAAGTGGTGAAAGTGGGAATCTTTGTCTTGTTACAGTTCTCAGGAGGAACGCTTTCAACTTTCTGCCATTCAGTATAATGTTGGCTGTGGGTTTGTCATAGATGGTTTTTATTATCTTAAGGTATGTCTCTTCTACGCCAATTTTTTAATCATAAAAGGATGCTGGATTTTGTCAAATGCTTTTCCTGTATCTATTGAGATGATCATGTGATTTTTGTTTTTAATTAAGTTTATGTGGTGTATCACATTTGTTGACTTGCGTATGTTAAACCATCCTTGCATCCCTGATATGAAACCCACTTGATCATGGTGGATTATCTTTTCGATATGCTGTTGGATTCAGTAAGCTAGTATTTTGTTGAGAATTTTTGCATCTATGTTCACACTGGTTTGCAGTTTTCTTTTTTTGTTATGTCTTTTCATGGTTTTGGTATTAGGATGATACTGGCTTCATAGAATTTTTTAGGGAGGATCCCTTATTTATCTTTTGGAATAGTTTCAGTAGGATTTATACCAATTCTTCCTTGAATGTCTGATAGAATTCAGCTGTGAATCCATCTGGTCCTAAACTTTGTTTTGTTGGCAATTTTTTTTATTAGTGTTTCAAAGTTGCTGCTTGTTATTAGTCTGCTCGGAGTTTCAATTTCCTTCTGGTTTAATCTAGGAGTGTTGTATATTTCCAGGAATTTATCCACCTCCTCTAGGTTTTCTAGTTTGTGTGCATAAAGGTGTTCATAGTAGCCTTGAATGATCTTTTGTGTTTCTGTAGTGTCAGTTGTAGTATCTCCCATGTCATTTCTAATTGAGCTTATTCAGATGTTCTTTCTTCTTGGTTAATCTCACTAATGAGCTATCGATTTTGTTTATCTTTTCAAAGAATCAGCTTTTTATTTTATCTTTTGTATTGTTTGTTTTAATTTCATTTACTTCTGCTTTGATCTTTATTATTTCTTTTCTTATGCTGGGTTTGGGTTTGGTTTGTTCTTGTTTCTCTACTTCCTTGAGGTGTGAGCTTAGATTGGCTATTTGTGCTCTTTCAGGCTTTTTGATGTAGGCATTTCATGCTATGAACTATCCTCTTAGTACCACTTTTGCTGTATCCCAGAGGTTTTGATACATTGTGTCACTATAATCATTCAGTTCAAAAAATGTTTCAATATTCATCTTGAGTTTATTGTTGACCTAAAGATCATTCAGAAACAGATTATTTAATTTCCATGTATTTGTATAGTTTTGAGGGTTCCTTTTGCTGTTAATTTTCAATTTTATTCCATTGTGGCCTGAGAGAGTACTTGATATGATTTTGATTTTAAAAGTTTATTGAGGCTTGTTCATGGCCTATCGTATGGTCTATCTTGAAGAATGTGCCATGTGCTCATGAAAAGAATGTATATTCTGTAGTTGTTGTGTAGACTGTTCTGTAAATATCTGTTAAGTCCATTTATTCTAGGGTATAGTTTAAGTCCATTGTTTCTTTGTTGACTTTCTGTCTGGATGACCTCTCTAGTGCTATCAGTGGAGTATTGATGTCCTCCAGTATTACTGTGTTGTCTCCTGTCTCATTTCTTAAGTCTAGTAGCAATTGTTTTAAAAAATTGGGAGCTCCAATGTTAGGTGCATATATATTTAGGATTGTGCTATTTTGCTGTTGGACTAATTCTTTTATCATTATATAATGTCCCTCTTTGTCTTTTTTAACTATAGTTGCTTTAAAGTCTGTTTTGTCTGATTTAAAAATAGCTACTTCTGCTTGCTTTCAGTTTCCATTTGCATGGAATATCTTTTTCCACCCCTTTACCTTAAGTTTATGTGAGTACTTATGTGTTAGGTGAGTTTCCTGAAGAAATCAGATACTTGGTTGGTGGATTTTTATCCATTCTGCCATTCAGTATATTGTAAGTGGAACATTTAGGCCATTTACATTATACATTAGTATTGAGATATGAGGTACTGTTCTATTCATTTAATTGCCTGAAGACCTTGTGGGTTTGGTTTTTTTTTTTTTTTTTTTCATTATGTTATTGTTTATAGGCCCTGTGAGATTCATGCTTTAAGGAGGTTCTATTTTTGTGTATATTTTGAGGAACAGTTTCAAGATTTAGAGCTCCTTTTAGCAGTTCTTGTAGTGCTGGCTTGGTAGTGGTGAGTTCTCTCAGCATTTGTTTGTCTGAAAAAGACTTTATCTCTCCTTCACTTATGAAGCTTAGTTTCGCTGGATACAAAATTCTTAGCTAATAATTATTTTGTTTAAGGAGGTCAAAGATAGGACCCCAATCCCTTCTGGCTTGTAGGGTTTCTGCTGAGAAATCTGCTGTTAATCTGATAGGTTTTCCTTTATAGGTTACTTGATGCTTTCACTTCATAGCTCTTAAGATTCTTTACTTTGTCTTGATTTAGATAATCTTAATTACTATGTGCCTAGGTGATGATCTTTTTGTGATGAATTTCCCAGGTGTTCTTTGAGCTTCTTGTATTTGGATGTCTAGATCTCTAGCAAGGCCAGGGAAACTTTTCTCGATTATTCCCTCAAAGAATTTTTCCAAACTTTTAGATTTCTCTTCTTCATTGGGAACACCAATTATTCTTATATTTGTGGTTTAGCATAATCCCAAACTTCTTGGAGGATTTGTTTATTTTTTTAATTATTTTTTTCTTTGTCTTTGTTGGATTGGGTTAATTTGAAAGCCTTGTCTTTAAGCTCTGAAGTTCTTTCTTTTACTTGAGTCTATTGTCGAAATTTTCTTGCATATTTTGCATTTCTTTAAGTGTGTTTTTCATTTTCAGAAGTTGTAATTGTCTTTTCATTATAATACCTCTTTCTCTGGAGACATTTTTATGCATATCCTCTATTTATTTAAATTTCTTTAAGTTGTTTTTCACATTTCTCTGGCACCTCCCTGAGTAGCTTAATAATCAACCTTCTGAATTCTTCACCTAGCAATTCAGAGATTTCTTCTTGGTTTGGATCCATTCCTGGAGAGCTAGTGTTATCTTTTAGGGGTGTTAAAGAAACTTGTTTAGTCATAGTGCCAGAATTCTTTTCTGGTCCCTCCTCATTTGGGTAGACTGTTTCAGTAGAAAGATCTAGAACTCAAGGGCTGCTGTTCAGATTCTTTTGTCCCACAGGGTGATCCTTGATGTGGTGTTCTTCTGCTTCCCATAGGGATGGGGCTTCCTGAGAGCCAGACTGCAGTGATTGTTATTACTCTTCTGTGTCTAGCCCCTCAATGAGGCTAGTAGGCTGTGGGCTCGTTCTGAGGAATGTCTGCAAAGAGTCCTGCAAAGAGACCTGTTTGTCTTCAGGTCTTTCAGCCATGGATACCAGCACCTGCTCCAGTGGAGGTAGCAGGGGCATAAAGTGGACTCTGTGGGAGTCCTTGGCTGTAGTTTTGTTTAGCGTCCTGTTTTTCTCAAATGCTGGTTATGCTAGCAGTGATGCTGTCACAAGGACAGACTCAGGACCTCTGGTTAGCCAGGGTGGTGCAGGTGATGGAATTAGCTGTGGTTTTCTCTTCTTTGGATCAGGGTTGTCTGGTATGAGCTGCTGTAATGGCTTAAGTTGGTTGGCCTCCAGCCGGGAGGTGGCACTTTCAAGACAGCACTAGCTGCAGTGGTAGAAGGGGCATATACACTTGCCCTACATTGTCCAGGATAAGTACTCGGGTTTCTCAGGTGATGGGTGGGGCCACAGAACTCGCAAGAGCTTATGTCTTTTGTCTTTGGCTACCAGGGCAGGCAGAGAAAAATGATTAGGTGGGGGCAGAATTAGGTGGGTCAGAGCTCAGACTATCCTTGGGCGAGGCTTACTGTGGCTACTGTGGGGAATGGGGGGTGGTTCACAGGACAATGCAATTATGTTCTCAGGGTGATTTTGGCTGCCTCTGCTGCACCATGCAGGTCACCAGGGAACTAGGGGAAAGCTGGCAGTGATAGGCCTCACCCAGCTCTCATGCAACAAGGCCAGTCTCACTCCCTCCATGCCTCACTAACAGCACCAAGTTTACATCCAGGCAGCTGGGGAGCAGGGCTGAGATCTTGCCCCAGGCTACAAGTCTTCCTGTTGAGAAAGCAAGCATGGTTCTAAGGCCTCACCCTTTACCCCTACCCCTCCACCCACACCCTTGACTGCAGTTTCTGTACTCATATCTGCACTTCCTATTTGTGCCCCTATTTCCCCTCTCCCCACTGCTAGATTCTGCTCAGAAAAATTTGTGCTCAGTCAAAATTATTACAAAATTCCACTGGAAGCTTTCTTCACCCCGTGTCCCCTCCTGAATTCCACTAGCTGCCTTCCTCCAAGGACCCCTGTGAGATAAAGCCAGGAATGGCTTTTCTGGGCTGAAGCTGGAGACTGGGAGTGCCTATAGGGCTCTTCCCACTGCTTCTTCTATGTTTATATTTCACCCAGCTCCTTAAATCCTTTTCAACTCTAGGTATGATTAAATCCTTCTCCCATGACCTGGATTTGCAGGTTCCCTGGTGGCAATGTGTGTTCAGAGGCAGACGTTTCCCCTTCTCTCACACTTTGGGAACTCACAGTTTTTTAGCTGTCTCATGGAGTTTGGAGTGGCAAGTCACTTTTTTCAAAGGGTCTCTGAATTCTTTTGGTTTTTCTGGTATTTTCCTGAGGGAGTTCTTGGAGCAAAAATTCACAACGTGAGTCTCCACATGCTGTTTGATTTATCCAAGTGGGAGCCGCACTTTAGTCCTGTCTCCTATCGGACAATTTTCCCTAAATATTCCAAAGTACTCCCATTTGCCAAGAAGTTTTATAGTCATTTTCATGAGACACCTGCAAAGAAAAAAGAGGCCAAAAATTAATTTTACTCATAGATATATTTTTAGGTTAATAAAATTTGTTTATACCTTTTATCCTCCTCATCACGAACTGTTAGGACACAGAAATTGTGCTTAGAGACACACAGAACTTGTATTCATAACACTATTTACATTTTTATTGTAAAAGGAGTAACAATAAGGACATTTTAAAGGAGAAAAATTATCTCTAATCCCAACACGACATCAAAACAATTTATTTTTACTATATCCCTCATCCTATCTTAGTTTATATAATTGCAATCATAGAACACATAAATTTTTATAATCTGCTATTTCACTTAATTCCCAGTTGTAAACATTTTCCATGTTGATGTATAATTTTTATTTTTTATTGCATTTTTGGTACAAATCGACAATTTTTCTGGCAGAGTTCATCAAATACTGCAACATAGTCAGTCCTCTAGTAATTTAAATACGCATTTGTTTTCAATTTTGTGTTATTTCAAGAAAGTTGCTGTAGATATCATGTAAACATTTTTTTTTCTTAAAATGAATGCCCAGTACCAAGATTTGTTACATAAAGGTAAGAACATTTCGTGGCCTTTGGCCCAAACCATTCATTGGCAGCTCTGGATGAGCCCTTACTGTAAGCTTTGCCAGTTCTCCTCTCCTCAATCTGAGGCATGACTTCTTTGGGCTCCTAAAGTCCTCTTGACTCTCCTGCTCCCTATCCGCTCCCAGGCCCAGCCCAGGCAAATGAAGAATGCTGACCAGCAAATCCCAGTCAACTTCACACTTCATTATTTTATCTCTGCCCTTCTTCCTTTCAAAAGAAATGCCATTTCTTGTTATGAATGGGGTGTGTATGAGCCTCAGTTGTTTGGGGTACACTTTTAAAAATTCATAACCATGGCTACCTAGCAAGTTATCTAAACTATGGGTGTGACTGATGTACCTGCTGGGCTAATACTACTCCACCCATATTGAATAGGGCTTGGTGGGGAACAAAGAAGAGAAATACAGGAAAGTTCTTTCTAAATAGCAATGGTACTTGCAGAAAATGGAATTACTATGCTGTGCCTTTAAATCTGCCTTTATGTACGTGGTATCTTGAGAAATATATATTTAGCCTTTGTCCCAAGTTCATAGCACAGAGCACCTAAAACCCTAAAAAATTTCCTGAATAAGATTAATAGGGGCTTCTTTTGTTTTATTATTCATAAAAAAGCCCTTTACACCATACTGAAGTTTATGCTAATGAGGTAACTCTTGGTGGGCACCAAGATAGCATCAGGATGGGGACTGGACACTGGGAAGACCATGCCATGACTAGAGGACTGGAACTGCAGTCCCACTCACTGGCCTCCTGGAAGAGGAGAGAGGACTGGAGAATGAGTGCAATCACCATTGATGCCAATGATGTAATCAATCATGTCTACGTTAAAAAAAAAAACTCTAAGTAACAGGGTTGAGGGAGATTCCAGTGCTGGGAGGGTGGAACACCCAGAGAGGTCATGGAGGCTCTGACTTCCTGAGTTGTGTTGAAGAAAAGAGTCAAACTCTATAACACATTTCAAGAGATTTATTCTGAGCCAAATATGAGTGACTGATGGCCTGTGATACAGCTCTCAGGTGATTCTGAGAACATATGCCCAAAGCGGTCAGGGCATAGTCATAGCTTTATATATTTTAGGGAGATATGAGACATCAAGACATCAATCAATACATGGAAGACACATTGGTTCAGTCCAGAAAGGTGGGACAACTCAAAGGCAGGGAGCCTTCCAGGTTATAGATAGCTTGAAATTTTTTCTGCTTGGAAATTGGTTAAAACAGTTATTTTCAACAGAAAGGAATGTCTGAGTTACTGTAAGTGGTTGTGGAGACCAAAGTCTTATCATGCAGATGAAGCCTCCAGGTAGCAGGCTTCAGAGAGAATAGTCTGTAAATGTTTCTTATCAGACTTAAGGTCTGTGTTGATGTCAAATGTTGGTTGGCTTTTCCTGAACTCCAAAAGGGAGGGAGGGATAATGAAGCGTGCCTGACACCTCTTCCCATCATGGCCTGAACCAGTTTTTCAGGTTAACTTTGGAGTGCCCTGGCCGATAGGAGGGGTTCATTTAGATGGCTGGGGAGCCTTAGAATTTTATTTTTGTTTTACAGTTGTTTTACCAAAGTTTTATCCTTTATAATAAATACTAACAGCAAATAAAGTGCTTTCCTGTGTTCCATTATTTGTCAAAGTAAATTGTTGAACCTGAGGGGGATCTTAAAAATGCTAAAATGTGCAGTCCACTAGGCAGAGGTGGGAGTGTCCTGGAAACCCCATTTCCATCTGGCCTCTGAAAGGGGAGAGTCTTGTGGGACCAAGCCCTTTGATTTGTGGGATCTGACACTAACTTCAGGTACAGTAGTGTTGAAAAAGATGCCACGTGTTTGGTCCTAAGGGAAAGAATCTTTCAACATGCTATTCCATTTTTTAAATTCTTTGCAATCCTAGGCAATTTTCCCCAGGCTGGTATTTGTTGAAAGTAGTTTTCCATTACAACTTTGATAAAAAAGAAATTCCATAATCATTCCAAAAAAATTGGCTCAGTAATGTAGAACAGTTCTCAAACTTACATGTGCATGTGACTCATTTGGAGGATCTTGTTACAATGCAGATTCTGCAAAGCACTTACAACTCAAAGTGTGACCCATGATCAGCAGCATCAGCATCATGTGGGAGAATCTCAGAATCTATCCTAGACCTACTCAACCAGAGTCTTCCTCATAACAAGATCCCAAGATGATTCACATGCACAGCAAAGTTTGGGAAAACCCGGTCTCAGCCTCAGTTTTCTTGTCCCTAAATGCTTTCTACCTGGAACACAGTACATATGCAATGAGTGGAAGCTATTATAGAAATTGCTTCACGTTCAGTGTTCAGATTAAGATGAGCATTGCTGATAAGTGAACACAAAGTAACTGCTCATGGGTTTGAGATTTTGTGAGCAGGTACAGGGATGGACTGTAAACTTGGTGCTCTGTGTAGGCTCTGCATATTCAGCACAGGAGGACTCAAACTGCAAAGGTAGCTGCTTGGCTCTGGGGAAGAAGGGATATCCAGGAAGTTCTATTAAGCTGAACATAAAAAATGTCCTTCTCAGGGGCACCCTCCGAACCCTATTAGGTGAAATGAGGCTGCAGCCATAATGCCTGAGACATCAACTTATAATCTCAGTCTCCAGGAAGGTAGAGCTGGGCAGAGGCTGGCTTGAGCCTCCTGTTTGTCCCTCCAGACCAGGCCCTACACCCAGGAGCTGGCCAGTGTCAAACATATGCTCACCACTCAACCTCTCTCAGCTGCAGCTCAGGACTTCCAGAAGCAACTGTCTCATCATGATCCCCTCTTTATTTTCATTACAATAATCTTTTCGGCCAAATACTTCTTCAGAGTTAAATCTAAAAAGTAAATGGGACCGTTGACTGTAATCTAAGGCTTTAGGACTGTAGCCTTAGTTTAACCACTTATGCATGCAACTGGGTCATGTGACCATAGGCTCAGCCTCACAAAATAATTGGAGACCCATCCAGATTTGAGGCAAGGGGGATTTACGCAGGTCCTGCTCAAAAATAGGAAACATCAAATATCCTTTGTCCTTTCCAAGCTCTGATTTTGCTATGATCTGAATGTTTGTGTCTACACAAAATTCATATGTTGAAATCCTAACATCCAAGGGGATGACACTAAGAAGTGGAGCCTTTTGGGAGACAACTAATACTTCTGAATTGGATTAGTGCCCTTATAAAATAGGTCCAAGGGAGCTCATTAGCCCTTTCCACCATGTGAGGCCACAGTGAGAAGACACCACCAATGAACCAAAAAGTGGGCCCACACTAGACACAGAACTGCCAGTGCCCTGATCTTGGACTTCCCAGGCTCCAGAACCATAAGACATAAATTCCTGTTCTTTACAAACCACCCAGTCTACTCAGCTATCTCTGCCTGAACAGACTAAGAGATTTCTGAACCTATTGTGATGTTGGAGTTAATCAAACATGGTTGTAAATGCTTGCTCTGCCTATTTCTAACCGTGTATCCTGTGGAAAGTTCCTTCACCATTTTATAACTTGTGTGTCTCACCTAATAAAACAAGGACAACAATAGTTATTCCAAAAGACTATTGGAAGAGTTAAAGAGAAAGCATAATTATAGTAGTAGCTAACACTTATTCAGGGTATAAAATGAGCCGAGTTCTGTACACAGCTCTTTACACTGACTCACTCATTCACTTAGTGCATATTCATTGAATACCTACCATGTACTGGGCATGGTTTTCTGGGGTCTAGAATAATAACAACAATAGCTAACATTATTGAGTGTTTACTATGTGACAGGCACATTCTAAAGAAGTTGTTTCTGAACAGTTCACATTTCTAACAGGTTAAATTTTCACAATTGCTCGTGTGAATTATTTTGTTTAATCATTGCAATTATCTAATGAAGTAATATGTTCCCCATTTTTACAAATGAGGAAACTGAGGTATAAATGTAAGTAATTTGTGCAAAGTCACCCTGCTAGTCCATGGAGTCCCCAGAGATCAGACTGTAAAATATTGAGCTATACTGTGTGATATTTGAGGTTAAACTCTAAGAAATGCCAATTTCCCACCACTTTTGATCTATACAAACAATTTTATGTTTTTCCTAATATTTTAAGGAGAATTTGTAGAGACTGAGACATAAGCAACCTGCAGTGAAACACCTTTTGCCTTCTGTTTTGTTTTTCTGTTTTGTTTTGCTTTGCTTTTATCTTTGGACTGCCTTTCTGTCATATTCCCCAGACCCAATCTTGACTTCATGCCCCAAACCCTGTATGAAGCCTCTGTCTTCCTTTATGTCCTAGAGTTGTGTCCTGAGATAGGCTTCCACCTTTCTCCAGCCCATCAGACCTCTTGACTCAGCCCCCAGGAATGAGAGTCCCTGCACCTTGCAGTAATACTAAAACCATAGTAATACTAACAT